ATTATTAGACCCACGCCAATACGCCCTAGGCTATCAATAACAGACCCTGCCTTACGTTATGTCTAGCTAGTGAAATGTTGTACTCCATACTAGATTACTAGGTAAAGATCTTTTTATTGAATACGGAGTAATTACAAGCCGGTGATCTCTATTTCGAGCGTATCAATCTTAGTTTATACGTAGTAATTAATTTGTTTATCAAATACGTACATTTAATTGTCGAATAATAAAAATAAATAGGGTTAGAATTAGTTTGTGGCAGTATTGATTGAAGTTATAATAGAATATGATTCTAGCTATTTGTTCATAATTTTTGCTCTATATTTTAATAATAAAATATGGAGTATATTCTAAATATAATTTTTCCATAATCCAGCATATGCAGACAGTTCACAATTTCAACAAATTCGGCCGATTCAGTCAGTTTTATTGTGACCAAGTAGGTTCTTAATCTTTCAATATAAGAGCCTTTTGGTAATACTGAAAATTGACTGAATCAGTTGAATCTGTTGAAATTGATGAAATTCTTATTGTTCACCATATTCAACCAATTCAATCAATTACAGTGTTATCAAGCAGATTCATAGTCAATTGAATGGCACTGTGTTGTTAGGGGACATATTAGGTATGACACTCAAAATTTGAAAAAAAAAAATATATTGCGACTTAAGCTTCTCATTGAAGAATATCACAGTTATCTAGATAATGATTAAATAGAATTATTCGAGTGTTTTTTAGAAGTAATTTTGATAGATTATAATAGGGATAAGGGTCAGATAGGGCCTCAAACTTGGAAAAAAATGTCAAATAAGGCCATATTTAGGATGCTATGTCCGGCCGACGCCATTTGGGGTGGTTCCCGGTGGAATTTTTTGATGAATTTTTTTGAGAATCTTATTCATTAAGTCTAGTTTACTCATATCAAATTTGAACTAACAATTCAATCGGGAAGGCATTCAAATGAATTCATCATGATAACTGCGCTTTTAATGGTACAGTTATCTTCAAGAATTCATTTGAATGCCTTCCCGATTAAAGTTTTAGTTCAAATTTGATATGAGTAAACTAGACTTAATGAATAAGATTCTCAAAAAAATTCATCAAAAAATTCTACCGGGAACCACCCCAAATGGCGTCGGCCGGACAGAGCATCCTAAATATGGCCTTATTTGACATTTTTTTTCAAGTTCGAGAACATACCTGACCCTTATTAATGAGGTCTTTGATGACAACTGTGATGTTATAGCGGTATACTTTTAATATTTGGTGACTAAATTCTCATTTAACATTGATAATTATTTCTTAAAATGAAAATGAGAACATTTATTTGGGTCTTTCAAAAAGATACAAATGAGTATTGTAAACTGAATTTAAAACTTTGTACATTATATTGTCAACAAACTTTCCTTATTTGTTTATCTAAAAAACTTTGTCACTTTTTTTAATTTGTGGTTTATTTTATTTCTTTTTTCTCTATACAAATATCAATTATATAATTTTTATTTTTGGTATTCTACACTTAAATTAAAGTAGGCAATGTCCAATGAAAGGGAGGGAATATATAAAAAACAAAATGCAAAAACTTTTAGAAGCAAAATTTGGATGGGAGAACTTTCTTTGCAATCGAGGTCAATTTCACATTCACATATTTTTGCCTGTTTGGACACACCTTACGTTAAGAGTGATAACACTTAATTAACCCATCGGAATGAACTATGTTACTCCTCCGTCCCATTTATATTGTCCCAGTTCCTATTTATTTGGTCAACACAAATCACTCTTAATATCTTACAGAGTATTTTATATATCAAAAATTTATCAAATTTGATTCAGGTTTTTGCGACTTTGTAAAGCTTTAAATGTAGTTTCTGAATATGTAATTTTTTTTCCTAAAAATAATTTGAGTACAGACAGGGATATGTTTGCTTTATCGTCGATCAAATATCGTAAACCGTAAAGAGACAATATAAATGGGGAGGGAAGTATTTTCTTTTATTCAGAATTGTTAGAGACAGAATACATTGAATTGTTCACGAAGTAGTCGGCATGCAGTAGGTAGAGTCTAGCCATCAGCTCGCTGGCAAATGGCAATTTTATCTCATACTCCGTATTTATAAATTGAATAAATGCTCATACCAGAGAGATACATGCCATAGGAAATACTTCGTACTAGAAAAAAGCAGGCTCAAATTTTCTTAGGCCTTTTTTAAATTCAATAAATTAGGCTTAATGTTGAATTCATATCAACAATTTGAAAATTTTAGAACATAAGTGAAAAGTCTAAGCAGGGCCAATTAAGTTTTAAAAAAAAAGCATTAAATTTAAGTAGGACTAGTTGTAACTCTTCAAAGCAATACAATTACTTTTTATTCCTTATAATTATAAATCACAAAATTTATATTTTTAATTTAATTTTGTGTAACCCTTGCCTCCCAAATCTCATCCCAATTATTTCCAAATTCCAATTGTGAACAAATTGGTCTGTAGAAAAGGTTGACTATGAAGTGAGTATTGGTGATTTTGTTTCATAATGTCATGTGATGAGAAATGTTTTTAAGTAATGTTCTTTTCTTTTTATGTGATGGACTAGAATATATTTAATACTGATGGAGTATATGGCCCGGGAACCCCCGGCCCACAGACTCCTACTAATCTATCACAAGCCCAACAAGCCCAAGGAGCTCAGGAGGCCCAAGATTCGGCGGCCCAAGCGTCAAGAAGCCCACAGTACACACAGGGATGCCTTCGGCCTCCTTGGCCGAAGGCTCCAAAACTCACAGAACCGCCATATTCGACCATGCGAAGCGACTGGGAGAAAATGACAGAAAACAGGAGCCTTCGGCACTGTGGAGCCCTCGGCACCAGGGAAAGCCCTCGGCTGAACCAAGCCTTCGGCTACACTGGGAGCCTTCGGCCATACATGAAGCCTTCGGCCACACAGGGAGCCTTCGGCCATACATCAAGCCTTCGGCCACACATGAAGCCTTCGGCCATACATGAAGCCTTCGGCCATACATGGAGCCCTCGGCCATACATGAAGCCCTCGGCCATACATGAAGCCTTCGGCCACACAAAGCCCTCGGCTACGCGAGGAGCCTCCGGCTAAACGGACTCAATCATCGAAGATTCCCTTTGGAGACAGCCAACCACCGCATTTAGTGCGACGTCACATCCACCCACCGCATTTAATGTGGGGAACGTGCGATGGTCGGTGCCACCCCGATTGATGTGACCCCTCGGCCGTTGGATTACTGACACGTGTACTCTCATCGCATTTATTGCTACTATAAATAGCAGCCCATTTCTCCTTGTAAACGACCGAACTCCCACACGCTGAGTTCATTTAATAAAATCGACTCTCTCTCCTCCTATTTACTCTGACTTCTCTCTAGTTATTCCCGCAATAACCCCTCGGATAAGATACCCCCCGGGTAGACTATCCATCATTTGGTGCTTTCGTTGAGAGGTTTGAACACAATCAAGTGAGAAAACCTCCCCAAATTAAAAAAAAAAACACCAAAAAAGGAAAATCAGATCTGGAAGAATCTGTAATGAATCACAGCACAGCTGCGGACCGACCCAACAGCCACCGGAAAACGGTCTTGAATACCAACTACGACGCAGATCCGCTGCTAGCACCTGTCCCAGCATCACAGGTCGCAGTTCGAAGCTCGCCCACCTATCTCTGCCACGAACCTGACCGCTCAAAGCTCCTGGTAGTTGCTTGCTCCTCCATCTTGTTGCTGGTCGCCCGCTGCTCCACCTGCTCATGAGCACGAGCTGAGGGATCTGCCAAGCGAGGAACCCGCCATCAATGGCCTCAAAGTTTATGGGAATGACGGATGGATGGGTATGAGCTGCAACCCGCGCCACTGGGATCTGCCGGTGAACGCGACCTGGATCTGAAGGCTCCACCGCGGCAGTTCCAATGAACCCTATTTCACTCTCCGACGAACCGACTGGTCAACGGCGACACAGATCTGATGCATAACCGGCTGGATCTGAACCGACCAGTCAACGGAGACAAACATCTAACCCCTTCCCCCGCAACGCACGCCGCCTCCCGTCGCCCTTAGCTCGTTCATCTATCTCCATCGCACCACGCTCACCAGCCACAGCTCACCCTAACCTCATGAACCGTGTCCGCCATTAATGGCACTGGGAGGCTCTGTTTCTCGAGCTAGGGGCCAACTAGAAGAGGGTGTGGGCCATTACTGCTAAAAACTGGAACTCCCTCCATTAAATGAAGCCCACCGGCCAATGACGCCTCAAATTCGAGCTCCGTCGCGAGGGGAGCTAGTAATCACAACCAGGGCTCTCCTACGACCCATGCTGGCAACGACAACGACTGAGGAGCTCCTTAGGCCTCCTTCTCCGGCTGGCAGCGACAATCTCGTTTCGAGCCCTTGCTGGCGGCGGCAGTATGCATTGGGCGGCCAAGAGTCACGTTCCATCCCTTTCCGGCGGCATCAAGGACAAGGCTGAAGGCCTATGCCAGCTGCGGGAAATGAAGGGCCAGACTAAGACATGCCAACAAGACCTCTGCAATTAGTTGTCCTATCTCCTCATGGGGCATATCCAGCTAATCCAGTCTCGTTTATCTTCTGGACGGACAGAACTCATTGCTGGGTCAAAATTGGTCAATTTCAATGCAAAGTTCTATACGAACCAAGACTACATCAAGCCCAACACTGATTCTCACCAATAATAATGGGCCGGACCATTTTTGGGCAAGTGCTTTCAAAGGGCTGTATTTCAACCCATCAAATATTTCAGCCCACTTAAAAAAGATAAGCACTCTTTAATTTTCATATTATTTATTTTTATTTAAATTAATTTTTTGTCGGGCGAGCATCACACTATCACGCACTTATGATCAAATACCTAGTAGAGTGTGGCTTGAGACCCATCATTAGGATTTAAAGCCCTGACTCCTCAGGCACAAAGCCCTGTCTCCTCAGGCACAAAGCCCCGACCAAGTCGGGCATGAAGACAAAACCCCGACCAAGTCGGGTATGAAGACCGGTCTTAGTCATTCCTCGAGTGGCGACCGTTGCTTACGAATGGCTCACACATCCATTCTACTAAGTATTTTATCATTACATTAACAATTCACATCTCCACTTGTTTCAAGTGACGAACTCCCGATCGGGAACATAAATCCCAAGAAATTTTTTTTATATGTATGATAAATGTGTAGGTACGAAGACGACTTTACTCATTTTCACCTCGTCTCCACTCGCCTCAAATAGTGGGGACTGGGGGACTGAGGGGTCAGAGTTTCTAGATGGGCAGAAAACATCACGCAAGAGCAGGAACGAGAGCTGAGTCAGTTGAAGAGGAGCTGAGCTAGATTGATTATGCCGGAGGGGATTTACCTTCCTTGTTTCATGTTGGGGGCGCTAGGTGTACTCTTTTTCCCTTTATTAGGATTTTTTCCCACTGGGTTTTTCCTAGTAAAGGTTTTTAACGAGGCACCTCCCCATAATGGACAAGGGTGGTGGTCCCCCGGCCGAAGAGGAAGAACGTTGCAGATACAGTTTGGACTACTCCCTTTTGCCTCGAGTACTCTTGACTCAGGGAGTGGGGGACTCCTGATGGATTATATGGACTCCGACCCCCCGGTATGCCGACTACTAGGCCTGGACAGCGGCCCACACACGTTTAGCGGATTCATATTATTGTACATCATTATTCAAATGTTCTAGATTAGCTTTTTGTACTATCAGTCCATTTATGTAACCGGATCTGTCAGGCCCGTATTAGAGGCTCAGGCCTGGATTTTCCCTATATATACTCCTTATAGGAGGCTTGTAAACCATAACTCAAGAACTCAAGAGTTCATACACAATACACATTTTCTTCTTTCTCCATTACTCTTTTTCACTCTTGTTCAATTTCTCCTGTTTATACAACATGGGTATCAATTGTCCATCATATATTGCACCCTCAAGTGGTCACCTCCGGCTATCATCTATTACAGCCTTCGAGAAAGCAGCAGCATAAGCCTTCAGCTTATCAATGTTGCCTTTCATCAAGTGCCCCCGAGCAAGCAGTAGTATAAGCCTTCGGCTTATCAATGTTGCACCCTCAAGTGGTCACCTCCGGCTATCATCTATTACAGCCTTCGAGAAAGCAGCAGCATAAGCCTTCAGCTTATCAATGTTGCCTTTCATCAAGTGCCCCCGAGCAAGCAGTAGTATAAGCCTTCGGCTTATCAATGTTGCACCCCCAAGTGACTGCCTCCGGCTGCAACCTATTATGGTCTTCGGTGAACAACTCTCACCAGAACCCTTCAAGAATTCAGCAGTATAAGCCTTCGGCTTGTCAATGTTGTCACTCATCAATGCATACTTGGATGATAGCCTTCGAGCAGATAGCAGTATAAGCCTTCGCCTTGTCAATGTTGCCACTCATCAATGCATACTTGGATGATAGCCTTCGAGCAGGCAGCAGTATAAGCCTTCGGCTTGTCAATGTTGCCACCCCTCGGGAGCTCATCAACACATCATAACTCCTTCAGCCCGAACTTGCCTTCGACCTAAAGGAGTGAGGGACTGGGATACACCCCTCGGGAATCACACATGACTAAAAAAAAAAAAATTCCCACATGCAAGAAATCTACAAATAACGCATGTAGCCCTCGGGTACATACACCATTACACTCTTCGGCAAAGTAGAATGTCAGAAACTTTCCACAAAGTCACTGACAATGATGAAGCAGCCTTCATCACAACACATACAGATATTATTTACGCTTCCCTCAGAAAACCCTCGACATGTGGGGGACTGAGGGAAGCCTTCGGCTAACAGCAGAAGATAAGTGATCAGTCAAAGGCACCCAACAAAACGATGAAGCTTTCGGGAGAATCAACACAATTACTCCTTTTCCCTCAAGTACCTTTCGGCAAAAGGAGTGAGGGACTCCTGATGGAGTATATGGCCCGGGAACCCCCGGCCCACAGACTCCTACTAATCTATCACAAGCCCAACAAGCCCAAGGAGCTCAGGAGGCCCAAGATTCGGCGGCCCAAGCGTCAAGAAGACCACAGTACACACAGGGATGCCTTCGGCCTCCTTGGCCGAAGGCTCCAAAACTCACAGAACCGCCATATTCGACCATGCGAAGCGACTGGGAGAAAATGACAGAAAACAGGAGCCTTCGGCACTGTGGAGCCCTCGGCACCAGGGGAAGCCCTCGGCTGAACCAAGCCTTCGGCTACACTGGGAGCCTTCGGCCATACATGAAGCCTTCGGCCACACAGGGAGCCTTCGGCCATACATCAAGCCTTCGGCCACACATGAAGCCTTCGGCCATACATGAAGCCTTCGGCCATACATGGAGCCCTCGGCCATACATGAAGCCCTCGGCCATACATGAAGCCTTCGGCCACACAAAGCCCTCGGCTACGCGAGGAGCCTTCGGCTAAACGGACTCAATCATCGAAGATTCCCTTTGGAGACAGCCAACCACCGCATTTAGTGCGACGTCACATCCACCCACCGCATTTAATGTGGGGAACGTGCGATGGTCGGTGCCACCCCGATTGATGTGACCCCTCGGCCGTTGGATTACTGACACGTGTACTCTCATCGCATTTATTGCTACTATAAATAGCAGCCCATTTCTCCTTGTAAACGACCGAACTCCCACACGCTGAGTTCATTTAATAAAATCGACTCTCTCTCCTCCTATTTACTCTGACTTCTCTCTAGTTATTCCCGCAATAACCCCTCGGATAAGATACCCCCCGGGTAGACTATCCATCAAATACATTGGTACTAAATTATACCCATATATATAAATATATATTTAGGTCTTCATACAAAATTACTCCTATTTAACTATATAGGCTACATTTTAATCTGAATTAGATTTATGTTGGTCCAAAAATGGACGCTCGTACGGTTTTAAAAATGTTACGCTAGAACACCCAAACAAGAATCAAGAAGTAACACGAAAATGGAAAGTGTACTGTTAAGTGAGTTTTGTTGCCATAAATAGCATGTCCTATCATTTGAATATGTCCTGTCTTTTATAAGGGGGATAAGAGTCAGTTTGGTCCTCGAAGTTGCAAAAAAGGGGTCAAATAAGTCTTTATATAGAAAATTCTGTCCGGACGTGCCATTTGAGGTGGCTCCCGGTGGAATTTTTTGATTAAATTTTTTGACCATCTTATTCATTAAGTCTACTTTACTCATACCAAATTTCAGATAAAAATTCAATCGGGAAGACATTCAAATGAATTCTTGAAGATAATTGTGCCGTTAAAAGCGCAGTTATCTTCAAGAATTCATTTGAATGTCTCCCCGATTGAATTTTTAGCTGAAACTTGGTATGAGCAAACTAGACTTAATGAATAAGATGCTCAAAAAATTTCATCAAAAAATTCTACCGGGAGCCACCTCAAATGGCACGTCCGGACAGAATCTTCTATATAAGGACTTATTTGACCCCTTTTTTGCAACTTCGAGGACCAAACTGACCCTTTACTCCTTTTATAAGCGTTTACAAATTGTAACTGCTATCAATAATAATGACTAATTAATCACAACATTAATACAGAATTAAATACATAATTAATCGGCGTATTAATTGTTTGATCGTTGCTCTTCCTGGCTAGCAGGTCAACCCGGATTTCAGACCTGACGCTAGAGCTCCCTCTCCGCCGGGCTGGTAGGCAGACTCTCGACTGGCTGGTGGGCAGGCTCCAGGCTGTGGACTTGAATCCATGTTCGGGGCTTGGGTCTCTGGGCCTAGTCATATAACCCATGAATTTATTTTTGGGTTTCTTCTACCTATGTACTCCGTACAATTTTATCTAAATTTAGGAAATTTTCTCTTATTTGATTTTTCCTTTTTTTTGGATTATGTAAAATTATTCTTGTTTTACTCATATTAGAGAAATTTTCTCTTATTTATGTAAGAGAAAACTTTTTGTAAGGGAATTTTATCAAGGTTCCACAATACAAATCCAAAATATCTTGGCTGGGAGAGAAATATATGACGTTTGTGTTGCACTATAGCCTATGCAATAGGAAAGAAGAAATAAAGATAACATTCTGGAGAATTGTTTATACTTCAGACTGTTAAATTGAGTTATAATTAGAATTCAATTTATGAAGTGTGGTGTGCAGTGTGCACTTTATACTTTGAAACTCCTTTCCGGGTAAAATATTTCTAAGCATTAGACTGAAGCCTATTTTCAGTGATGCCAAGATATAGTACGGAGTATCAAGTATAGCCGCATTTTTATATGGGTTGAATGATGATAAATTTGGAACAATGATCAAGGTTCGAAATCTGAAATGGTTGTGTGGAGGTTACAACTCCTGTGTATTGGTCTAGACTTCTGGTGAACACGGATATAAAGTCTACCACTTTTGGACCGACTGAGTAACCGTGACTTACTCGTTCAACATCATGTCGGGTTGGGGTGTGGGAACTCCTCGGTGGGAGATTCCAACTTTTAGAACAAAGTATAACCGCATTTAGAGGCCGTTTGGCAACACAGTTTTTCGGCTTATCAGGCTTATCAGTCAGTTTTTTCACCAAACACGTAACTTTTGCTTTTGCGCACTGAATTGTGTAATAAGCCGAAAAAGTAAGGTTGGAGTTACTTTTTTGGCTGTATTGGCTGAAGTTATTGTAGATGATCATTTTAACTATTTTATATATAATTTTTTCTTTATTTTATTAATAAAATGTATTTTAAAAATATTTTTTTCTTAAATCAACAGAATCAGTCAACGCAGCCACTTCAGCCAAAACTTCATAAATTTCATCAGAATTAGTCAAATCATCCGATTTTTCGTGCTACTAAACGGGCTCTTAATTGGTTTTTGATAGTGGGGCACTGGGGCAAACTGCACCATAATAAAGTGGGGTTCAATCACTATATCCAATCTCATTTACGTTCTATTTGCCAATTAAGTACAACTGTCACGTTTTGTTGTTTGCCAACAATGAATTTGAGATGATTTTGATGTAATGGCTGAAAACACCCCAGAACGAATACAAAGTGGACTGTTTCACAATGATAATTACGTAGTACGTATAATTTCTGGAATGTTGACGTTAATAGCTCAATCGGTATGGGCGAGCAAATGAGCATCAATATAATATGAGAGAAATTATCGTGAATAGGACTAAATCTAAATATAATTGCATAAATAGGATGGAATGTTTTGTATTCTTTAAATAAAATTAAATATTATTTTTCTAAGTATATCTAATATACTTTCTATGTTCTTTAAAAGTTTCAATATTGCGATTTTAGCATTATTCACATATCTTACTTTCATTACGATTTTCTAATAATATATATAATCAAATTAATATGTATAAAATATTATTAAATTTCTATTAACGTAAATTTCCAAAATATTAACTTTTTTAATGTTTACTAATATGTAATTAAATATAATTACCGTAAAAGTTGGGCGTTGGCAAGCGTGAAAGTCAAACTGTTGCAACTTTTAAAGAACGGAGGATAGTAATAAATTAACATAATTAATTGTCTCCTAGTTCTCGTGCATAGTCAAAGTTAGTTCGTTGGTGACGTAGTTGCCCGATGATGATGGCAAACCAGCAGTGAGATTCTGACATATCGGTGGCAATGAGATGGGGGAAATTCAAGGGGCGGCGACCAGCAATCGATGGTAGTTAATTTTTGGCAACCGACTGCGACGGAACTCCAGCGAAAGGCGGTGATTGCACTATAGCATCAGGCGGCAGTAAGTTGTGGCAATAGACTGACCGTAGATCTGCAAGGATATTTTTGTTCAAAACACACGTAATTATTTCTATATAAGGAATTTCAAACCATAGCTCCTATTTTTATTAGGCCTGGGACCGGTTCGGTTCT